GAGTATCAAAACGTTTTAGAAATGATGACTGAGGAAGATCGTTGGTTCAATTTTGCAGCTCGAGCAGTCGAAACAATTAATCGCGAACATGTCTGGAATGGAATATGTGTAGCCTTTAAGTTTCTAAAGAACTGCGGACCTTCGTACTATCACAAGACATATTTTGACAAACTGTTTAGTGCTACTTAGGTAGAACTAATGTTAATGTACACGGAGACAAAACTTCCTCCTTTTTTTTAACATCCCCTTGACTATGCTGATTGTGGTTGTAAACAGAAATAGAAATCAACTATTTAATTGCTTTGACAAAAAGGAGTTATTTGCATAAGCGAATAATAATTTTATAGCTTCCGCGGGTTATTTTGTAGTTTAAATTGTAAATAGAGTTATGTTAATCAGGGGGAAACAAAGAGAGGGTGGGACACACTCTTAACATATAAAAAAGTACTGGGAAAGTTTGCTACTTTTACTCAAAGCAATCCGCGTGCTAAGGTCATGGAGTCCAAGGTTCATTGCGGACGCTACAAGTGCAAACAGGATGTTGCCTACAGTTATTTGCATTTTGTTAACATGTACGTAGTGTGACTCACGTGCGCAGGTATTAGCCTTATAGGTAATGCACAAACAAATCACATATCATTCAGCAAGTTACCTTCGCCAGGTGAAATTTATCGAAAAATCCAGGTACTATATTATATGTTTTGCATACAAATTAATTACTCTACGCTTATCTTGTTAAATATGTGGAGCAATGTAACACAAGTTTTAGGTTTTGGTCATTCATTTGTTCGCCGTCTACAGGAGGATTTAGATAAGCATTTTGACCCTCGGGCAAAACAAAATTTTAACTTGGCTTCGTCGGGCTGCGTCTCTCTACATGGTATTGGAGGTCGTACAGTTGATAAAGTTTTTCAATATCACTTACCATTCATTAAAAACCAATTTCCAGACATAGTTATTTTGGAATTAGGGACAAATGACTTGTCAGAGTTGTCTCCCGAGACGGCAGGCTCTCGTTTGGAGGAGTTAGTTTTGTTTTTAAAGAATGACCTTCATGTGAGGACAGTAGTTTTGTGTCAGGTGATTAACAGGAGCATCAGTCACTCGCAAACTCCTGATTTTGCATTTAACAAGAAAGCGGCAGTTTTACGTCAGTATTTGTCTGTTTTTCTGGATAAAATACCTGGCATTTTTCTTTGGGAGCATCGTGCCTTCAATAAAGTTGGCCACACTTTATTGTCCTGTGATTGTGTTCATTGTAACCCGCAAGGACAGTTTGTTTTGTCGAGCACATGTATCGACACCAAGGTCTCGGGGTCAACGAACTCGTCCTGGTCCTACACACACGTCAGCAGAAAATGAGTCGTCCGCTGTGCCCGAATCATCGATGTCATCGTCAACTGCGACCAACATCAACTATGCGAACATATCGGAAATCGCCACAGCGGTGGCTCAAGCTATGAAAGAAAGTTTGCAGACCTCTGTGACAGTAAGCGACAAAAGAAAAGTACCTATTAATAGTTCTGAGGTTGATGCCCAAGTGCAGGGGCCAGTGGCATCTGCCCTAGAACATTTTGCAGGTGAGCAGCGACTTAGTCTGGCGGTTGAAAGTCCACATTCTTCATGCAAAGATTTTAATTCAATTTCCATCCCCATTGATGCTCAAGTAAGCTCAAAAATTAAAGCTAAGATCTGGGCAAACGAGTTTGTTGACTTCAGCTCTCTTCTAAGCTCAAGGGGATGTGATAGTCGATATCATCTCTCAGTAACTCAAACTGACGACTTCATTCCCACCCTTTCTTTGGAACCTACTACAAAGACTAAGCCCGTAATAAACATTGAGATGTGGACTTCAGCCTTTCAGATTTTTGTTGGGATATACACCAGTAAGTTTCCCCAGGATGCTCCTGCATTGATGAAATATTCTGAGGTTGTTCGTGGTTTAGCCGCGCGTGGTGCAAACTGGCAATTTTATGACACACAGTTTTGTTATATGCGCTAATCTCATTTGCACGATATGCCTTGGGGGACAACTCATTTTGAGTTGTGGATCAGAGCGCAAAGTTTTAGTCGTAATAGCGTCAATCAGTCACGTCCCGGATAGTCTTAGTCTTCTCCATCGGGCATCTTCGTTCCATTGGGATTTTGTCAAATCTTTCACAGAGGATTGAAATGTTCAGGTTGCTCTTACAAACATACTTGTTTTAAATGTGGTTCGCAGCATCCAGCCAAAGGGTGTAATTTTCGTCCCTCAGGCAAGTTTCACACGGCTGGAAGATCAGCAACAACTACACAAGCTTCCAACCCCCGTAAAAATTAACTGTTTACTACCTTTGTTACAAGGATGCAATGCCCAAAGCGTTTTAGAGTTATTTGAAGGCTTTACGCAGGGTTTTCCTCTTCAATTTGAGGGTGTTTATAACCCAATTCAGGCGCACAATTTAGTTTCGGCGAATCAAAATCCGGATGTAGTCAGCGCTAAACTTGAAAAAGAGATTGCAGCAGGTAAAATTGCGTGGCCCTTTCCTCAAATTCCATTTCCAAACTTGCATGTATCACCTTTAGGTGTAGTGCCAAAGAAGGTTCCGGGCGAATTTCGATTGATTCACCATTTGTCTTTTCGGCATGGGGCGTCTATTACGATGGTATTCCTTCTGCATATACAACAGTTTCTTATTCGCGAGTGGATAATGCCACTGCAATTATTAAGCTCTTGGGGAAAGGCTGTTTTTTGGCAAAAACTGATATTAAGAATGCATTTCGCATCATTCCCATACGTCCACAGGATTACCCCCTTTTGGGAATGTTTTGGCAGGGTAACTACTATTTTGATCGGGCAATGCCTATGGGCTGCGCATCGTCCTGCCGCACTTTTGAAATGTTTAGCACTGCACTAGAATGGATCGCTAAAACCTATTTGAGCATTGAACATATTATTCATTTTCTTGATGATAATCTCCTTGCTGCCCCTTCATTCGACCAATAGTGCGTTGCATTACAAAAGTTTACATCCCTTTGTGCTCATGTCGGTGAACAAATAGCTCCAGAAAAAACGTTTGGTCCTGTAAATATCCTCACTTTTGCTGGCATTGAGCTCGATACGCATGCTATGGAAGTCCATCTTCCAGAGGACAAAATCCTCAAAAACAGGCACGCTTCTCGGAGAATTACTCAAAAGGAAAAAGGCCACGTTAAAAGAAATCCAGTCGTTGATTGGCTTGTTGAACTTTGCATGCATGGTCGTACGTCGTACCAGGCATAGCTTTTCTTCGTCGTACCAAGCAGAACTTATAAATAGATATACCTCTCGGGACCCGACAGTGATGATATTTGTTCGTCGCCTGGGGCTATCTTGCTTAAAACTTAACATTTTGCTCCGTGCCAAACATATACCAGGCGTGTACAAGCATCTAGCTGATGCTTTGTCGCGTTTTCAGGTTTCAAAATTCAAAGAGCTAGCCCCCGCAAACGTTCACACTTCGCCGTCGGTTGTTCCCGAACATCTACTACCGCACAATTGGAAGCTGTAACTTCTATTTCACTACAATCTAGTTTGCTGCCATCGTCAGTCCCAACTTATCGTCGTGCTTGGAAATTATTCCAACAATTTTTGCTAGAGGCTCTTTAAAGAGCTTTAGTTTCACTTCCCATTTCAACGACAGATCTCAGTTTATTTATTGCTTTCTCCGTAAGTATGCGCCTTCTACGTTGCTTACATATGTGTCTGCGCTTGGGTACTGTCATCGATTGGCGGATTACCCTGATCCTAGTAAAGCTTTTTGGATTGTTCAGATTTTAAAAGGCTATAAAAAGATAAGAACTCGAATTGATTCTCGGTTGCAATTACTTTGCCCTCACTTAGCAGTATTCTGCGGAATATAGCAACATTAACTTCCACTGTGTATGACAAGAGGCTTTTTCAAGCGATGTGCACCACTGCATTTTTTGCCTTTTTACGTATAGGTGAGATTACAACTTGTCATAGGTCACCTTCAGTTATCAATATTAACCAGGTAGTTAAGGTGGTCGATGCAACAAATAAAACAATCGAAATTAAGATAACATTAAAGGACTTCAAACATTCGTATAACGAACGACCTGCCCTTCTGACGTTATTGCGTCGTTCAGATATCTGTCCGGTTCAAAGCTTGCTGGATTACTTTTCTGTTCGAGATTCTTCGAATGGACTGTTGTTTCAACTAAGTTCAGGTAACCCTGTCCCACAAACTTTATTAACCAATTTCTTAGCTTCAGTGTTTATATCGTATGATCTGGATTAATCCAAATACAAAAGGGCATAGTTTTCGGATCGGAGCAGCTACGTTTGCAGCAGACCGGGGTTTTTCTGATGCCCAGATTCGTGCGATTGGTCGTTAGCGGTCGCACGCATTTCACAAATACACTAGAGCTCCAAGTTTAAATGTTTCTTCGTTGCAATGGCTGGGGACTTACGGTGGCTGCATTTTTGTTTGGCAAGACAAATGCCCATAGTAAATTTTCCGTTGTAAGTGAGGTTAGCCAAAATGATCTTACTTGCTGTCGTTTAGCTGATGCAGGGGTTAGGCTAGCGGCTGCATGATTTCTTTTTGCATTATGTTCATTCTGTGTTCGGATGCAAGGGCTACGTTCACTATTAACAGCATAGCATGTGGGATTGATATCTCTTTATCTCACTCATAGATGAACATTAGGTCGCATCTTCTTAAAGGGGAACTCCACCCAAAAATAATGTTGGTCTTAAAAGTTCCATTTTTATGCAAAAGTTACTATATTTTGAAATTTTTACATCAGCTATTTTATTTTTGACAAAATTGCGTCTTCAAGTGCGCTATTTGAGCTGTTTTGAGGCTTAGCAGCGTGGTCACAGAAAGCGTCAGCGGAAATTATTTTGACGTCATATCGTCAAACCGATTTGGAGTTGCGTTTACAACAAGGTAAAATAATAACGCACAGCCTAGCACAAAAACAAAACAATCGCTTATAATGGCTTTTTTGGAATAACCTCGGCCTAATTCACCAATCGATAGTGAAATGGAAGACAATCCAACAAACAATATTCGGCCATATCAGTTTGAGCCCGAATGGCCGGCTGATGAACACGAAGAAGCTCACCAGTTTGAGGATAACGAAGAACAGGAATTTTTGTATGTTGACGATGAATCTCGGCGCGACAATCTTGAATGGTGAGTAGTAAAATGTTATATTATTGTAGACCATTGTTTCTATCTCAAAAGTACGTTTTCAGTTTTTGAAGTTGACCACGTCCACACACACATAATACTTTAGATTTTAAAGTTTTTATTGTAACATACAATTTTTATTGAAGTTTTGACATTTACTTTTCAAGATCCTTTCTTTTAACATATTCAGGTGTCAATGTGGTAACTGCCAAATAATGGATAATAACGAGGAATGTTTATGCTGCAAAGAGATTTCCAATATTTGTGACAAAAATTTAGAGGCAGTAGAAACGAATGAGACCACCAAAGTCCCGTTGTGCATTACACAACATCCTGGTTTTGAGCCTGTTTGTCTTAACAGGTGGGTTTTACAAACAGCTTGGTACCAGTACAAGCAGCAATATGAGGTAGCACATGATGGGCCCGAAGACAAACTGTACCGCCATATTGCATATAGACAGTTGGCAAGATGGTGCTGGGGTGTCTTGGGTAGAGAGTGAGAATCATTTTTCCATCATGTGCAGTTACTCGCATTAGAGAAACATTTCTTCCACCTGGCCTTGCAGAGGAATTTCAATTTGAAGGCTTTCACTATGTTGATGAATGAAGTATTTTATTATGATATAGGTATACCCATTACAATTACTTTGTATGTCAATATTAAAGTGTCATAGCCAGCTCATTTATAGGTCATGCTATGCATATTTATTATTATTAATTTATTACAAAAAAAAACAGATTTACAAAGAAATGATTATAAATGTGGCTTGGCTATTACACTGGTTACAATGTAACTATAATTAATTACATGAATAGTTTGTGTAATGCAGTGGTGAAACTAGCTATAGCAAAAGGTTTTGCTATGTTAATATTTAAGAATGAACATTTTTTACGTAGTACAAAAGTTGTCTTCACTGATTCAACATCATATTATATGGGTATGGCAAAACCTATTGCCATAGCTAACATCACCACTGACATTTTATGCAAATCTACACTGATGTTCCTTTACAAGTACTTCTTTCCTGGGTGGACATGATTTAAAAATGTTCTTTGGAAGATTCTCGCCATGATGTACAAGTTCAATCCCCTCAGTTTTGCATGCATTCACAACCTCCGCAAGTAGTTTATCAATGTACTGGTACTCTTTCTTTTCTTTCATTGCTTTTACAACCCATTGCTTCTGTGTTTAAGCAAAAATCATTTTGAAACGGTCTTGCCCTTTGTTTGTCCCTGACTTAAGGACTGCTTTATCACGTTTAATATTGTTGTTGTGATCTAATGCTGCTAACTGAGTGCGGGCTACCATCCCAGGAAATGTAAAATGCTCTCGCTTTGGGCAATATTTAAGTAAAAGGGAATGGTAAACCTCCAACTCTCCTGTGTGACAAAACTCAGATAGCTTCTGCAGGTCTTTTAGAAGCCTCTTGTCACATATCACCCTCTCTGCAGCGATATATGCTTGTGAAGTAGGAGATAACCACTTCTTCTGCTTTGTTTCTTTTTCTGTTAATTGTTGGTGGCAACATTGATGAAAATATGTGTCCCCCTTCCAGAAATGCTTGTTGGAAATGTGGTTAAGGACAGACTTCCATTTTTCCACCAATTCTTCTGCATTCTTGTTACAACTTGCAGAGCACCACCAAAAATGATTAGAAATGGACTTAATCCAATGGGTCAAGTCATCATTTCCTTTAATGTTAGCCTTCTTTGTTAGTTTTTTTGTGACAGATTTAGACAAATGCCACACATCATATTGGTGATCAATATGAGGTGTTCGTTTTTAATAGCACTGGCAATTTTTACAATGGTTTTATGTAGGATTATTTTCTAACCGTAATGAGTTACACAACCATGTTTATTATTATTCAATGTTTATTAAGGGCAATAGATTGGTTTCACATCAGTGGAAACTGTTGTTAAGGTTGAATTCGGAGGACAAGCAAACGGCATTGCGCACAGTTTCCACACAAAGAAACCTTCGTATTTTTTAAAAAATAATATTAATCGACATTCAAGTTCTATATGTAGTGCGGAAACTGTGCCATAATGGCCTTTATGGATGTGAAAACGTTTTATTAAAACAGAATACAAATAACCAGCTCAATACTTGCATGTAAGCTATAAAAGTTGCTTGTGTATATACCTACGAATAAAAAATTCTGACGTTTCGAAAAGAAACATTTTGTGATTAGGAGAAGCATTTTGACGCAAGTTTATTATGACTGTGCAATGACTTTACATAATGCTTTGAGGAGCAATTGACGATATGACGTCAATACAAGCCGCTGACATATTTCTGCTCCCACGCACCGGATGCTCTAGCTGCTGCATTTCAACTCATTTTTTGTGAAAATATTGAATCAAACAAACAAAAAAATTGCCGCATATTTATTTTCATGGGACAGACAAAGTTTTAAGAGCAACATTATTTTTGGGTGGAGTTCCCCTTTAAACATTTGTTTTTTATTTTTTTAAAAAAAAATAAAAAATATTAGTGTTCTTATATATTTTATTGTGCAGGCGATTCTGAGGCTGATGGGTTTGGGCGGCTTCCTTAGCTCAGGAGGTTTATGGCGTTTTTATCCCCCTACCCTTTCTGTGCTATACAGAAAAACTTTATTCGTAAAGATTTTTATTTGAATTGTGTAAAATAACTAATTTATTTTATGTTATACTTGTTATTTCTATTTTAATAACTCGGCATGTGCTTTCACGCATTGCCAATTTTTACCCAAAAGAGAGTACACTTTAATGTCACGCGCACAGAAAACAGAGCTCATCAGCCCAAGAACCTCCTTGATTTTCGATTTGTTATGATTAAGCGGAAGCGATAAATACATTTTTGTGCGCAATGTACAAAATCATACATTTATGAAAAAGTTAAAGTACCTAGTATTAATGATTTTTTTTTCATTTTTCGCAGAGTCAGCATTTTAATACGCCTAGTGCAATGTAAATTAAAGTAAATACAGCTACTGTATTTGTCAGCGCTTTGTGGGAACATAGTTTGTTCTCGGGTCACTACTTTTTATCGGTCAAGAATGATCAATTGTACCAATTCCAATGATTTCTTTCATTAGTGAAATCCGTGTCGAGAGAAATTATTACATCAAATGGCAAAATGATTTGGGTTATGAAGAAACAGAATGTCGTAGAAATCCTAGATCAAATCAAGAATGCACAGGTATTGGATAGACATTTCTTGGAAAAATAAGAGGAAGCTCGCAATCTGTAAGTTGAATTGATCTTTATGGCATTTACCACCCATCCAAAAATATTGTAAAAGGTCTTAGAAACAAGATTGTTCATATTTTTTCATTTTTCAATTCAAACATCATATGTAAATATCAATTTTAAAATTCATTATACGAATGAGCTTTAAGGGTAAAAGTATAATTTAAGTATATACAGTTAATGCAGAAATAACCAAGCCCAAATGAATTGATAATTAAAAAGCTGATGATAAATTGAGTGTTAAGTTACCTTTATTGATTTAAGTACTTGGACTACTACAATAGTTCATCTTAGAGTAAAATCATCTTTAATGATAATAATCATTTGTAAGATGAGAAATATCACTTGCGACAATACGACTCAAGTAACATGCTACTGAAACTAACACAATATTAGACTATGGCACATATCGTTTCAGCTGATGAAGAGGATCTAGTTCAGGTAATTCAAAATATGCTTATTGCAGTAGTAAAACTTTGTCCATGTTAATGGATTGTTATGTATTGCCATTTTTACATGACTTTTCTCAAGCCCCTTTCACTTACATGCTTATTTTTAATTTTACAAACTAATACTTTTTACATCAATTATATATGGAATCTAAAAAAAAGATAATACAGAAATTGGATAAATTCGATACGTTTTAAGCTTTAGCTAATGATTTTTGAATACGTTGATGACTGACGAGGCATTAAATGCTAAAATTGAGTGACTCCAGTGAGGCTAGCAAAATGTCAAGTCCATGGTGTATTCTAATAAAAAAAAAAATTAAGGGTGTAATTTAAGGACAAACGAACATGTAATTCTAAGGTTTGTGATGCTTTTATAAAAGCTGACTGTAGGCATTAGGAATTTTTACCTTTGTTTTTTACAAAAAGTGTTTTTATATTGCTTCTTGGTAACAAATTGTTATTTCAATGATGTTTGTGACGAACGAAAATTTTTTCATGAAATGAAGTTTGATATCTACCAAACAATTTGAAACTGACTACATGATTCTGTAAAATGTTCCCAACAACATGAGAACATTTTATTAATAAATGTACATTCCACTCACTGAAAAAGCATAGAATATAGTTGTAAAAAGCATATTTTTCCAAGGACGGGTAAAACCACATCTTTGACCGTTGTTACACAAAAAATACTGATTATCTGAAATAAATATTATTTTAATTATTAGTCATTTATGTTTTAATTGCATTGTAGAATAACACCACTTATGATTCAAGGATATGGCAATCTAAAAATGATGAACAAACGGTGTTTCATTCATAATTCTGGAGTGCTAACGTTACAGAATTGTGACTGCAAACGTATTAAGCAAAATACAAATTTACATTTTGGCACCTTCTTTTGTATTTATGGGAAAGAAAATTTTGAACATGCCAGCACAAACATTTCTCGATTCGTTTGCATCACTTTGGCGTTATGTACCACGCCCACATTTCATGCCTAGCTGCTATGAATTCGGATTCAACGTTGGTGATTCAAATTTCATACATGCACGAGTTGCGATTGTGTCAGTCAACAAATCAGGTGTATTTTTTCAGAAATTCTGATGTGCTAAATAAAGAATGGGCTTACGAGTATTGGTTAATCAATTCTTGGGTCTTTTTCATATGAAACTTTTGTCTTTTTCTTAATTTTTCTATTTTATTTTTCTTCACAATTTTTAGTACTTTACTTTATTTAGCTAATTATAACATGTTACAAAAATTTGTCGTTTTTAAAACAGAAAGAAAAAAAAATCAATTGCTCCTTCAAGAAAAATTCATTTTTTTGTTAGGATGCAATAATACAGTACCTCTAGCCATTTGTCTAGGCATAAAAATACCTGGAAAGAATAATATCAGCGTTCATGGAGTTGTTAAAAATGAAAAGTCTCTTAAATTTGCTTCTTTCTTTGACTTTCAGGTTTATGTCGTCACGTTTTGCTTAGATTTATAAAAAAAAGCTCAGTTGCTTTAACATTGTTACATAACATCATTGAGTTAGTGTTTAATCACCTCAATTTCCCGAAAAAAAACATTTCAACATACAAATATGACAAAACGAAAAACGTTGTGTTGAGATAGCCACAATAAATCAGTAAATAAATAAGGCAGAACCTTGCACTAGTTGCGTCATTCGTATTGCATGCACTTCTTGAAGTTTCATTTTGAGT